CTCTTGAAAGCCTATTTATTCTTGGCTCAGAGCCTTTTTGCAAACTTTTGTGGCAATATGGGGTAATCTCATTTTGAGTTTGTGCCAGATTTGTTAATTAGCCTGGCACAAAACAGAATGCCATGAAAAATTTAAATTTTAAATAGCAAGACTGACACTGGTTATATTTTCTGTGTGTGTGTTGTCCCTTGCCCGCCTCTCCCCCTGCATATACTCATATGTCTTGAGTTTTGAACCAAGGACCTTGTATATTCTTACCAAATAAATAATTGACAGAGAAGGAAATAAGTAGGACTTGGGGAAGAGGTGACTCTACAATACTCCTTGTGAAACAACAATCAGTTAAAGCTGCCTTTTGATGCCATTAAACAGCTTTTTCCCTCAAAATGAGAAGAAAACACCAGTTGTTAAGTTTGGCCTCCAGTCATGCACACTTTTCAGGCTGTACCTTCTCTGGGAAATGGAAGCAAGCCCACTGGGTATCCCTCAGCCCAGTCTTTTTGTTTTTAACAAAATGGCAAAATAACACCCATCTGAAAAGGACAAAATAGAATTTTATCCCCTCAAATTTTGAAGTTGGAGGTAGATCTAATTTTCTAGGGCTTGTTTGAATTTAGAGTGCAAACTGTCTCAGACTGGTTGTTACAGACTGTGGATTGTTCTGCTCTTTGAGTTGGTTAATTGGGCTGAGATGCTGATGTGAAGAACAATGCTCATTTTGATGCAGATCTGTTTAGATGTCTCAAGTAAATGCAGCCTCATTTATTGGATCAGAGAACACCAGTAACAACCTTGTTTTGTTTGTGAGCTACACCCCGCACCCCCCACCCCTACCCGGTCTGTATTTTCAGTTGATTGTCTTGGGTGGGTTGCTACTTTGTGTGTATTTGCTTTTTGAGACAGGGTTTCTCTGTATCCCTGGCTGTCCTGGAACTTGCTCTGTAGACCAGGCTGGCCTCCAACTTAGATCTGCATGCCTCTGCCTCCCAAGTGCTGGGATTAAAGGCTTGAGTTACTGCCACACCTTGTTTTTTGTTTTGTTGCCATTTTTTCCTGTAAGGCTTTAAAAACAACAACAACAACAACAACAACAAAAACATTTTCTGGTGTTCTGGTACTCATTTCAAGGGGTCAGGTTTCAAGGAGAACAATAAAGAGCCTGAGACTGGAAAGTACATATAAGCCTGGCAAACTCATCCACCAGAGCGAGATCATTTATTCTCTAAGCAGACTTCCAAAGTAGATGGTTGGGAGAGGGGGGCTGTGTGTCCTGAAGGAGAAGGGAGGGGAAACAAACCAGGTTGTTAGGGAGGAAAAGAAAGACTTGGAGTCCTGACTGCCTCCCTGCTGTGTCCTGTGGTGACCTGGGGTGATGTTAAACAGCTTAATAGCCTGCAGGCCTTCAGTTGTGGCTGTGGTTGTGAGCCGAAGGTTAAAGAGCAACATTTATGCTGCTTTTACTCTTTTGTGTTTTCTTAAAATTGCTTGTTGGTGACATCTGTTTGCATCTTCATTATTTGAGGGAGTGATCTTTTCTGAGCTGAAATAAGCCTCTTTGTAGATTCTCTTAATTTTTTTTTTTCTATAATTCTTCCTATGGCAAGTAACTGCTGGGTATGTAGGTTTGAGGAGGGGTGCTCCACACTAGCTCCACCCCAGCTTAGCATTCTCACCTATTTTTCGTGGGGGCTAGGAAGATGGTAAACCACACCAAACTAAGACTTGCCATAGGAGGATTGAGGAAACTTGGCCTAGGAAGCAAATGCTGGCAGGGTCTGAGAATACAGTATTGATTTTGAGGCTGCCCATGGAAGTTGGGGCGGCTTCTATGATGAATGAGGGATAGGGTTCTGTAAGCTTTTCCACATCATGCTCCTAGAAGGTCACCCACCCCTGAGGGGTGACTTGAGCCCTCACAGCAGGTGAGCTGAGTCACTGGGTGTGGTAAAGATCCTGTGGAGAACTGAATGTAGGAGGTGGGTAGTCTTATGAAGTTGCTTTTTCTGAAGAGGAAACGCCTTATGAACAATATGCGGTTTGGAGAAGTGATGTGAAACAGAACTTTCTCTCCATTGCTGGCTTCCCCCTGCTGTTGTGTACTGTGTAGTTACCATAAAGAGAAAGAGCTGTTGTGCACCAAACAGATGAATGAAATTAATATCTGCCCTCACTGAGTCAGAGATGATGATGGTAAACTAAGCTTTGATGCCAAGTAGCTATTGTGTCAAAATTTATTTTTATCTTAGTTTTTAGAATCTATTTCTCTTCCCATCTCGTGTGAGGTCCTGAATATAGCTTACAGTTTTAGTGTGAGCCCCAGGAACCGCATGATGAAAGGGGAGAACTGACTCCTCAGATTGTCCTCACACATTACAAACTCAGAACTGTGGTGCGTCCACATTTGATATGCACACACAGGTGCATAAATACATAACTGTAACAAAACCCTTTCAAAATGAAGCCAGCCAGTTGTGGAAGGAAGATCTGAACTAGTTTCTGAATTCTAGCTCATGCCAGCATGAAAACTAAACCTTCCATTCATCTTTTTAGGTATT